CCCAAAGCCCCCCAGTACATAGTTGTATATTCTTCATTGTGGGTCCTTCTAGTTGTGGCATGTGGGACGCTGCCTCAGCGTGGTTTGATGAGCAGTGCCATGTCCGCGCCCAGGATTCGAACCAACGAAACACTGGGCCACCTGCAGCGGAGCAGGTGACCTTAACCACTCGGCCACGGGGCCAGCCCCGTATACCAATTTCTTAAGCAGTTCTAAGCCAACTCTTTCCAACCTTGCTTAAATATCTGAAATCAAGGTGAACATCATGTTAAAAAATAAAAATAGTCATATTGTATGACAAAAAATAAGAACCTACTCTTATAAGAAAGTTCAATATATATATTAGCATACATATACATATATACATGTATATTTATTAGTCTTTTAAAAAGTGAAACATGTATATAGTTTAAAAAAAATAAAGTTAAGTTAAAAAGGCACACTGTGAGAAGTAATGTCAACCTCTCTCCAGAAATACAAATGTTACTTTTCCAGAGATAGTCTATTCATATATAAATACAATTTAAATATTTAAATTGTCCTATTTGAACCTAAATCATAGCACACTGCATATTGTAATACACCATAATTTTTTAAAATAATAATGTAATTAGGCCTTCTAAATGTGTTAGCCCATCCCACAGCCTCCCTCCATCCTAGTAGCTGTGTCTGCATCTCTTGACCCGGCCCCTTTTACCAGGTCTGGACAGATTACATTGGTGTTGTATGCCATTCATTGTCTATTACAATGCGATCTATTTCATGATCTTCCTCTGCTCTGCTCTGTTACACAGGGAGGCCAAACCCTACAAACTACATATCCCAGGCTCCTTTACCTACTTGGCTCCCAGCTAGGGTCAGCCAATGGAGCCACTGGTGAGATACCGGAGGGTGGGAAGAAGAGAGAAGCTAGGTGTTTCTTCCCTTCTCTCTGCTTTGGGTAGCATCTTCAGCAGCATGGCTGTATCTCCTGTGGGGTTCCAGCTCCCACTGGCAGCCCCTCCTTGTATTGTCCTAGTGTTAGCTTGGCAGCCCCCTCAGGGCATCCCTCACTGGTTCTCCATGTTAAGTTTCCTCTTTTGAACTACCTAGCAAGTTAGTCACATGGAGAAGCCACCTGGAGAAGGATCCCCTGCCAGCCCCAGCCATTACAGTCATCCTCGGTGAGGTGCCAAACATGTGAGTGAAGAAGCCATCTTGGATGACCAACCAGTGAGAGTCATTTTTTTAAAAAAAACCCTGACTATTTTATATGACAAAATTACTTTTTAGTAGTAATCATGAGATAAAATGAATAATAATGACTTTGCATATATAATCATGCCAGCTAGAAACAAATAAGAAAAATAGAAGTTAAATAAATGTTATAGTATAAAAAAGCAAGGAGTTAATATTTTTAAATTATTGTATTTTTGCAAAAGGAAAACATTTAGACCTATATATTGGTCTGTTGTAATAAATTGGTCTGTTGTCTGTAAGTAATGAAGTCACCTTTTCTGTTTTTAAGTCTTAAGCTTTGCAGTGACTTCACTGAAATTAATCTTCACATATTAAGGTTTAATAGACAGTATAGAACTCTCCTTTCAAAAAAACTCCAGAAACTGCAATACTATCTTTGTTTCTTTAGGAACAATTATAGTGGCTTTCAAATACCTCTGTATTTGAAAATTTTCTACTAAAATAACTTCATCAGAAAATTCATCATACATTTCTATCATATACAGTAAAAACTTCTGAAGTTTTTCTCCATCTGCTAAAATTGGAGGAAATGGCTGAATGATAACAAACTTTGACATTATTTGATCTATTGCTTTAGAGCAAGTGCCCAATTACTGGTGAAGAAGATCAAGGCATTCAAACACTGCTCTACTGATTTCGACCAGCAATGTAAGACCAGCATCTTTTGTTGCTTCTGGCATTCTTTGAAATTTGATTATTTATTCTGAATAGATGACCATTTCCTTAGATTTCGTTATTGCATATTTAATTGCCTTCTTCACAATTTCTGTGTACTGCTCCTTTGATTAGAGTCTGATATAATATTTTATGTGAATAATTTGTCCAGTAACTAATAAGTTACTGAAATGTTATAACTTAGGTACCACTGATGTAGAATTATAGTTTCTTAATTCTTTCTTTAGTTTTAACACAATTAACAATTTAAAAAGAAGACATTTGAATTTTAAAGATACCATTCAAAATCAGTAAGATATTTCATGTATGACCTAAAATTTGCACTTAGTGAACACAATATTATACTTCACAATTTGCCCTGTTTCATAATATTTATAATAAACATAAATAGAAACTAAATGACCACATAGAACGACAGAACTGAAGAAACTCAACTTCTGCTTCTTTGTATTTACAATCACTCTGCTATCCTTGTTTATTTCCAACCTACTGTTTAAACGTAGGATAATTAGTTCCACAGGGATTGCCCAAAGTAGACTTGAATGATTCCAGCAAAGAACCTCCTCTCGAAATGAACGCGTGTGGCTGGGTCTGTGAGCAGCAGGGGCCTATGGTATAACTAGGAGTTTTCCAAATTAATTCCCATGTAGACTATATTAAAGGAAGTAATAAAAATGTGCTAATTTGAAGTAGATAGATAGATAGATAGATGATAGATGATCAAAACATCAATAATTGCTACAACAAAAGATTTAGACTAAAAGTGTTTTTAGGGGGAGAAGGATTTGACAGCATGTGAAAAAGAGAACTGAGATGTTTAATGATGCTATTAAGCTTCCTCCAGACTTCTCGCTCTGTGATTTAATAAAATAAATAATGGCTCGCACTGCTGTTAGTGGGGTATTTTCTTACCTGTGACTGAAAGCTTCTGAAATGATACCGTTTACGACCAATCTTTTTAGGATCTGCTCCTGGATAGTGAGGTTCCGCTCCTTGTCTCCGACTCCCTACCTTCCATCATTTTTTGATGCACTGTGGCTTTTGCCCTCACTGGTCCCCTGCAGTAGTTCATGCCAGTGGCACCAGTGACACTCTGCTGCTTACCCTGAGGGGTAAGCCTTTAATCCTACCTGACGTCTTTTATCTTCTGACACTGTTTGCCATCCTCTCCTCAAAATGTTCCCTCCCCTCGGCTTTCATGACACCTCAGTTTGTAGCTCAATATAAACCTGCTTTTTTTTTAGTTAAATGCTTGACCTCTCTGGTCTTTGAACTCCACAAAGGCAGGCACCGTGTCTATTCCCTACTTTTCTAGGCCTGGCCTGTAGTAAGTACTCACCGAACACGTGTAGACCAGCAACACTTTAGTAAGGAAAGCAATTACTCACAGAACTTTAAATACAGGAAAGGACTTTTGTAGATGCTTATGTAGTCTGTGCTTGACTGACAACAGAGCTGGGAAAAGCAAGTCTGGTTTTCAGCCCAGCGGCCTCTGACCACCCCAGCACCTCTATGCCTCACGACATGGTAATACCTCCAAAACCCATACCTGGAGGAAATATGTGTTGCCCTTTTATAATTCATGATGTAGCTTCTATAGGCTACTGGACTATTCTAGGGAAAGATTCTAGCAGGGACATAAGTAAAGGCAGGATGATAATTTTTATTTTTACATGAAGATTCATCAGAAGAAGGGTATAATTAACTTGGTTTTTAGCTAACTTGATTTTTTGGTTTTCTGCTTTTTTGAGAACTTGGTTAAAGGATGCCATTCGTGTATCTCAAACTTTCTTCTTTTCGCAGTCCCAATAATGTCAACCTTTCTTTTTGTTCAATTCAAATATACACAAAATCCTCTCAGTAAAATTCTAGAATAATCTGTCTGCTATTTAATGATCCACACAGCATACTTAAACATTGTTTTCCTCTCACGTTTCCAATCAGTAGAAAAGGAGAAAGACACAGATCAGTCACATCCAACCCAAATCCATAAACGTCATGTAAAGTGTTGATGCAAAGTGCTTTTGCAACTCTGAGAGGCTTTCCTGGCTCGAGGGAAGAAAGTGCCTGTCATTCACCACCACTTTCTTGAGCACACTTTTTTCTAAGCTGCAGACACGGCCTCTGTACATCACTAGGGTACTTTCAAGCCTGCTGGTGTTTGCTGTTCACGGCTGATGCTCACCCTTAGCTCATTCCTTTGAGGCCTCCCTCAGTGCAGAGTCCACTTTCCAGCAGCCGGTAGTATCCCAAAGTTTTCACCTGAGAACTGGGCGATGGGCCGTCAGGAACTGAGAGCTTCAGGAGCTAGTCTTTTACTCTCAGTCTCTGCCTCAGAGCCTCTCTCCTTGTCAGGAGCTCTCATCGCCCCAAGGCCTCAAAGCTTCTCTTACATCTATGCATCTTCTCAGCTCCAATTTTTAGTATGAATCAGTTCACTCTCTGATGGCTCAGGTCAAATTCCCACAGGAGGAAATCCGATTAACTCGGCCCATCTTCCCGCGGCCAAGTTGTGTTGTGGATCATCAGTCAGCCTATGGACTGGCTGATGCCAAACCTGGTACCTAGGCCAGGACCACTGGCTGGGTGGCAGTGGGAGGGCTGGGGTGACCTGATAGCACCCAGTATACCAGAAAAGAAGGAATGAGAGAAACTTCGCAAGGAAATCAGGAAGTTGACTTCTTTTATACTGTGGGTAGGATTTCTTTAAACATTTAATATTCATCTAAATGTTCTATTCTTTTTATTGATGTTTTAGTGCTATCTTAACTGTATGACATGAATTCAATGTTGCACTTTCATTATGGCTTCTTGTTATTATAGTATCAAAAAAACCTGGAAGAGTCTATTTTGCAGAGGAGGAATCCAGAGATGGTAATAAGTATCCTAAGGTCAAGGGGCTACAGAGAGGCAGAGAATGAGAAGCGAGATCTCCGAGCCCCAGCCTAAAGCTTTAACCAGCTCCTGATACCAGAACGGAGATGGAGGGTCTGGTACATTCTTGGTAATTAGGAAAGGTTTGTTACCAAGAGGATTTCCCCCTTTTCTCCTGTAAAAGGATATACCAAAAAGAAGTGAACGGCATGTTGAAGAGTCCTAATATGTGATTACTTTTACCAAACATTTAAAATGTAAATTTGGCACCTTTGCAAAACTTACAAGACATTATTTTAAAATGTTTTCTAATTACAGAATCTTATTGTGCTTCACATTTAGCTTTAATACCTAGGAAAAGCTCAATAAATGTGTAACAAATGCTTGTATAACATAAATTATAAATGACAAACTACCTTTTACAAAACATTTGATTTATTCACTCAACTACACCCTAATAATTTCAAGAAGTATATCAAAGAATTATTTCTAAATGGATTTTTTTCTTGCTGTACACAGTGCTAAGGGCAATCCTGTCAGCTCTTAAGCTCTTGTTTGACCTGCTTTGTCAAATGCTTTGTGAAGTGATACTCGGAACGGCATGACGTGATGTCAACTTGCATTAATTCTTTCCCAAAGAGAAGTGTTCAGTATTCACATTGTGTTTGTACTGGCACAATCTATTTATGTTTCCGCTTCATTTCAGAAGGTTTGCAACCACTGCTTCCTTTAGAAGACTGTTCTTTTTTGCTATTTTTTTTCTAAGACAACCTTTGAAAGGACAATAATGATGTCCCATAAAACTGCTTTCAGGAAAGCCACTGAAGATAAATATTTCAGAGAATTGAATAAAAATGTTATATATCAATATTAAACTTTCCTGTTTTTATCATAGATTTATTGTGAAAAATTAAAACTATCCCCTATTCGACTAATCTTTCTCAGTGAAGTAAGTCCATCAGCAATATTGCATTTGTTTTTATGTAAAACATATCGAGAACCATATGCATATGATCCTAAAATTGTATAACATCCTCTAATTCAGCTGTAATAATGATTGTGTATTAGCAAAAACTTAAAAGTTTTGCAATTGAGATCCACAAACACCAATATAGGGTAATAAAAACATTCATTTCAAATTTCTCCACTTGAAAGAACAATGTAAATCACTAATCCATTATTCTATTTTGCTTAGAGAAGAATTAAGAGAAAGGTTTTATTCCGATTCTAAATCTAGATTTCGATGATCTTGAAGTGAATTCTTGTTTTCCCATACTCCCTCAGGAATCAACCGTCATTTCGAGCACAGGCACAGTGCAATCGTAAGTCAGTTGCCTGCTGAAGGTCTTTTTCAAATTTTGTCCTTCCCACCTTTTTTCTTAAGCCGGTTTCTGGTTGGTTCTGTCAATACCAAGGGCTCTTGTATGACGATTGCTGGGTAATTTTTGCCGAGGAGTTCAACTTCCACTTGCTGTCCTACTTTCCCGAGCTCCACAGGGACATACGCAAAGGCCAGGCTCCTCTGGATGCTGTAACTGTAGCTTCCGGAGGTCGTGTTGCCAACCACCTGAAAAGCCAGACCCAACAATCCTCAGCATCTTGGTCACAGCTGGGTGTCCTCCTCCCTCCCCAGAGGGAGACACTCAAGCTATAGACTCAACTTACAATCCGAAAGTTTTATGATACACTACCTGTGGGGATAACACCAGGAAAAGAAACTTCACTTTTGTGAGAAGATGAATGAAAATTGATAAATTAATGAAAAATAATTTTCAAAATACATACCTAGATTACTCTGAAATTTCTCAGTTTTAAATAATAACAGGTAGTTTCTTAATACCTGGCACTATTTTGCTCAGTTTTGTGCCAAGAGCTCTGATAGGAAGGAGAATCAAATATTTTCATTTTAAACCAAAAAAAATTCTCTTCTATCATCAAACTAGCATCGCAATAACAGGTACAAGGGAGAAAAATCTAAAAGTCCAAATGCAAATGTAGTCAACCGTTCCTGTTGGGGTATAGATAAATGGCCTGCCAAAATCGTGCTGAATTAAACCATTTATTAATATATCAATAGTCAGTGTGACTGGACAGTCTATATGAACATATAGAGCATTTAAGAATTCCTGACAATTGCTAGGCACTTAAATGAATGTTAACTTTACTCTCTCTAACTCTACCACGCACAAAACATTTTGCTAGACACTCAGGAGAATGAGTAGAGGCCGGGTCCCCACCCTCAGGAGCTTCCAGCCTAGTTGAGGAATTAACGTGGAGAGACAAAACAAGATAACCAGGAAGCCAAGGCAATAAACGTGAGGAAGGCAGCATTTTTCCATGTTTTGAAGGCTGGGGAATGAGGGGGGCAGAGAAGGGAATGAAACTTTCCACAATGGGTGGACACATGGAGTTAGGCGTGAATCACCAAAATTAAGGAGGATGAAACAGGATAACTTGGGAGGGCAAACCAGATCTAAAGACTGCAAACCAGGAATCAAAACTTAAGAGATGGAAACAAAGGCTTTATGCTACAAAAACTATCCATGTAACAAGGCTGATTAGAGGAAAAGAGGATTAGAAGAAACCAGATCTAAAGGAAAGGATGAAAGAGAAGGAAAAGCAGAGTAAAATGGCAAAAAATACGATACAGAAATGTCAGGTTAAACGCTACATTCTAAAATAAAGGAAGACAATAGGAGCAAAATATGATCGATAGCCCTACTCAGAATGGCTTCTCCCGGCTACACAAGGTTGCATGAATCCGTGCAGCCTCGCTCTAGCACAGCCGGCTGCTCGCGCTGGTGCTCACCAACATTCCCGGACTTGAACCAGCCTGGGGATCTTTCAGCTGCCTCAGCAGAAAGCCCGCTACAGTCAACAGTCTTATTATAGCATTTCTAGTCTTTTCAATGCTAACACACTTGTGTCATTAAATACAGACTCCCATCTCTGCAGCTCCAGTTTTTAATTATCTCATTGAAACCCCAAATCAGAAGCTCTCCATATAATTTCTGAGGTTATTATGGTGAAGAACTGGTTGATTAAAGAAAAAAAAACCCAACGTGAATGCATTCATTAGTAAAAGCTTCTCTCTGGCAGATGATTAACTGCCGAGGTGCTGCAGCGCTCACACGCGTTTCAGAACGGCCTTTCTCCCTCAGATCACAGCGATGTGGTGGAAGGCCGGGATTTTGGTGAGGGAAGTTGGGGTTTTAGTCATTGTTCTTCAAAAGACTTTCTTGGTAACTTTGGTTTCAGTTCCCAGTCTGTAAAACAGAGATCTGCGCTTGGAGCCCTGGGAAAGTTAAAGTGATTTGCTCGGGCATTTTAAGGGACCAGGAAGAGGCCTGCACAAGCTCTTGGCCAGAACCCCTAACTCACTGGGTCAAGAACCCACAGTCCCTTTTCAGAGCCTGTGCGCGCCCTTTCCTCAGGTCCACCCATCCCTTCAAACCCCCAGTCATTCGCCTGCAGTTAGTTCTGCTTTAGTAACTTTATTTATTTTGTGAGTGCTATTTTAAAAATATTTATTGAATGCTTTGCTTTCCGCTAGATTACTTTCATTTCTCCTTTAATTTCTCTCTAGCCCAGGGGTTAGCAGCCCAGAGTATTTCAGAAGTCTGACCTTTCCTTTTATCTTACTTCTTCATTTCCAGGGAAAGGCTTCTCCTAGCATCAATTTTATATTGTTCTACCTCAAAATCTTCTGGATTCAATTAAATCCATTCCTTCCTTTTGCTCAGTAAATTGCAAGAACCACCTGTCCCCATGCTCTTCCTCGTAGATTCTCATGTTCTTTGTGAAGTCAAACATTGGCTTTCATCTTACCGATGTAAACAACCTCATTTCTTTTTAGCCTTCTCTCACGCCTCCCCTAACGACGAGGCTAAAGACGCCTCTAACTGACCTAAAGAAGGTAGCAGGGCGAACGGCCTTTGAAGGAGGCAACATAATTTATGCTGGATGATGTATTGTGTTTCTTTGGCTATCCCTGTGTGTGTTAGTTTATAAATAATGGTAAAGAAAATTTTCTAAACTCTCCAAACTTCCTTTCTCCAAAACCTCCTCTTCAAAACTTACTTCCCAGCAAAGCTGCCTTGCTAATTAATGAAAGCCCTTCTCATGTCCACCCTTACGCCTTGAATTTTAAAAATTAAACCTTATTTAAAATCACAATCCCTCCCTCCAACACGCCCATCTCCCAGCTGGACTTTACTTTTCCCCAGGGCACTAATCACTCTCTGACATGCCATTTATTTTATTTATCTTGTTCATTGTGTCTCCCTCCCACCCCTCGAATATAAGCTCCGTGGGGGCAGATTCTTGTCTGTTTTCTTCACTGCTGTATCCTAGTATCTAGAATATTGCTGCCACATAGTAGAAACTCATATTTGTTGAATAAATGAATAACTGTGTACCCTATCTCTAGCACTAGAAATATTTGCAAGAATAGAATACCAAGTGCGAAAGGCAGTGTAAGTCAAGACAACGTCAGGAATGAAAAGCAAAAGATAATTCAGTGCATTCCAGAGCATGAAGAGGATCAAAGAGGGTCATGGGCACGATAAAAGGATGACCCTACCAAACAGCAAAGAGCAGACAAACTGATATCAGGAAATTCAAGAGATATTAATAAGAGAAACTACAATTGGATTAGCAGCTCTCTAAGCAGATGGCATGTAGTAGGAAAGACGAAAAATATAGCACATAATCTCAGTGCACAGATATGGCAAGGGAAATAAAATTCAAAAATGGAACTTGGGTTTCCATCCAGCGTTGGGATATAATTAACATATAATACTGTATAAGTTCAGGTACAGGTTTCCAAGTTTTTAAACTCTAATTTGGGTATGGCCATATTTAAGATGGCTAAAAATCTGCCATCTTAAATATGATCATCTGATCAACCAGTTGATCATGGTTGATGTGGGGTTGCATACAGAATATTACAGCATAATCTCTCTTTCACTCCATGACCACATAAAACAGAATGTTGGTGGAAGGATGGGCATGGACCACGCTAGGAAGACTGAGGAAGCTGGATGGGAATGAAGTGAGAAATGCAAAACAAAAGAAAGATGAGGTGGGGAAATATAATGACCGGGAAAAACTTAATTAGAGGTGGGAAGAACCTTAGACGTGATCTCATCCAATGGTTTCACTATATAGATGAGACGACTGAGGCCAGAGAGGCTAAGATCTGGACAAGCAGTTAGTTAATGGCAGAGGTGGGTATCAGTGGAAATCGTGGGCAGATACGAAACTGGAGGAAGAGCCTGTCAAGAAAAGAGGGCTGAACCAGAGATTTAGAGTAGAAAGAGGAACAGGAGACAGTGGGGTAAGAGTAGGAATGGTTCAAACAGAGGAGCGAGCTCAGCACAATTAAAGGTGAGACGTCTAAGAACTGGAGATCGGAGAGAAGCCTGTTGGCTTCCTAGTGTCTAATAGTATCCACCTGCTACTCAGATGTACAAGAACTGTGGCTAGATAATTAAATGCTAAAGAGGATACAGTGGGACATCAGCAGAGACTGAGAAAAGTGAATTGGAGTATTTAGCGAGGCTTAGAAGAAAGGAGAAGCAATTCAAAGTCCACCTATACCTGGGTCAGAAATCAGCTCCATCGATCACTAGCTGTGTAATGTCAAGCAAATTACTTCACCTCTCTGAGCCCCAAAGCCTCATCTTTAAAATGGGGTTGGTCATACTTATCTGGGAGGGGTGTGGTAAAATTAGATGAGAGAGCACATGAAAAATAGCCAGCACATAGTAGGAAGTCTGTAGATGTTAGTTCTACATCAAACTGACCCATGCCTCAGCCCAAAGGGCCATTCCTTTAGTGATCCAAAGGCTAAGATTTGACACCACTGGCTTTCCCCACCTCCAGGGTTCTTTGTGTCAATGAAGAGGGGGGGGAAATGGAAACAAATAACAAGTAGGCTGCAGCGCAAGAGAAAAGCCCAGGCACGGAATCTCTGAGTCTCTGGGTATTGACCAAGCAGACCCTATTCAACGTGGAACAGCTGTTTAGATAAGCCCGGAAGGCCCTGAGCCAGCCCCAAGGTCTAAACTGAGTGTCCCACACCTGCCTGGTAACACCAGCCAAAACACTGCAAAATCTTTACCAAATTGAGTTTTACAAACACTTGTAAAAAGCAGAGGAAATGAAGTTCTATCGGTAAGATATCTGGTTTTACTGATTACCTATAGAGACAATGAAATGCAACATTCCACAGTGAGAAGGTCATTTTTTCTGAATAACCAAATGGTTTCTACTTTTTGCTTTCTTTCTAAGGTTCTACCCTCTATTGTCATAGATGTTTTCATTCAGAAATTTTTTTCTGCTAATGTGCTCAGGTTAGATTTGCCTCCTTCCAGAAGATCCCCAAGAAGCTAAATCAGAATGCCAAATTCTTTATAAAATCCATCTCTTGCATTCACAGATAGGAATCTGGTGAGCAAATAGATCATTTTACCCTCTAAATCAAACTTTCCCCATTGCCCAAGGTATTTCAAGTCCTTGGGTTTATTTCCTTAATCAAAGCATATAGAATTTTATGTTTTCAAACATGAGCAGCATTTCATTTTCCTTTCAGTTAATTGATTCTGTTTCTTGAATGTCAGCTCAGAAATCAAAAGTGTGTCATCCCACCATAGACAAAGAAACAGCAAAAAACTCTAAAAGGAAACTGATAGAGACAAGGAGAGTTTCTGTGGCAGAGAAGTTGCAGTGGCCCCTGGCCACGAGGTCCTCAGCACTCACCTTGCCATCGTACCAGATGCTTTCATTTCCCTCTGGATCAACATCATCGGTTGCCAAGGTAAGGCAGACCAGTCTCCGTTTCAGCCCCTCGGCTTTAATCTGTTTCAGTGCTTGCTTTCCTATGAAGTCTGCTGGCTGCAGGAAGCCAAGATAATGAAGATGAATGAATGCTCAGACACTGTGACAAGGTTAGAGATGCAAGCATTTAAATTTGTCTTTGCTATTTTCTCACCAATTACACATTAAATAAAAATACAGATTGGATCAAATGTCTAGACAAATATTTCTTAGTCCTCAAATGACAGTATCAGCCACCTATTCCTTCAGAATAGGTTGGACTTCAGGGTAATAACTTGGGATAACAATGTTACCAGAACCACCGGGGCAGAACAGTGTAAGACATGGTATTGCAGTGATGGATTATGAAAGGGACCCTGCATCTCGTGGTTCTAGACAGTGGTACTGGCTGGTAGTGGGCAAAGTGCTACTCAGTTTCTACCTACAGTGAGCCTTTCACAAGAAGGAAATTCACTTCTTTGAAATGTGATGCCAAAACAACCCCAAAATGCCACACGGTTTTTTCTTTCTTCAGAATAATGGTCTGGGGAATGTATTAACCTATTGGGTCACACTCATTCGTTCAGTCAGGAAATGGATCGAGCCCCTGCTCTGTGTGAGGCATCATGCTAGGCCCCGTGTGGGTTATAAAATTAGTCAGATGCAGAGATTTTGATCAAAGAGCTTATGTTCTAATACTGCTTTTCAACCTCTTTTTCTCCTGCCATGTAGCACATGACAGATGACCTTTCTATTCCTCATACAGTCCCCTGGGCACACTCAGGGTTATTCTCAATGCGATGCAAGTGAGTGAGAGCGACACGGTGACGGCATAAACTTGAATCCATTCTTACATGTTAAAAAAAAGGAACCATGCCCACTTCAGGCCTTTCACATTTATTAGTAACACACCTTCCAGCAAAGAGGGGAGCAATGACTCCCCAGTGGAGACACTTAGCCTATGGAGGAGATACAATTCTACCCAACCAGAAGGCCAGGGACACTTGACAAGTGTGAGAAACTGGTCAGGGGCTACGAGTAGTGAGGGCAGGGGAGGAAGGCTGCCCCGGGTGGGACGGCGGGACAAGGCTTCTACGTAAGTGTGCCCAAACAAGCACCTCTTATCTTAGGCGGGAAGAGGGGAACTTGTGATATACAAGCCACATCTCTGTGAATGAGATTTCATTAGTGATTACAATGTGGGAAACAAAATTCTCAAAACAGTTCTCATGTACGTACAGAGGAACTATTCTCTGAAAGAAAGGAAATAACTTTAATTTCTTCACTGGCCAAAGAAGAAAGAAGACAGTATTTCATGCCAAAAATGTCCTCTGCTGTCACCATTTAGGATTTATGCAGCTCTTTCTGCACACAAAACATTTAGGATTGTGTGTAATACGTCCCCTTAACCTCTCAGTGTTGCAGCAGGAGGGGTCCTCACATACCTTCTGCCTGATCCACGCCCCCTCACCCCCCACCAGTTCACTCCTTGACTGATTCAGAACTTCTAGGATAAGCCCACAATGAAGTACAATTTCTATGGATATTGCAACTTTCAATTGCTGACCTACACAGGAAGCTAAAGAAAGTTCCCAATGGCCAAGGTTAAAACAATTGGAAAATGAAAGTCCAATTCTTTCCCCTTCCTCAGTTTGATCCAGATGGTGAGAACCAACAACAAAGTTTTAGTATGAAGCCCAAGAAAAATTCAAAGAAGACCGGACCCACATTATTTAAGACAGGACTACCGGGAAAAAACAAAACAAAAAACCCACAGAAAGAGCTTGATTCATTTGAGTTCATATGTAGGATAAATTCATGATAACAAGAGTCATAACACATCACAACACACCGAGTCCTGACATTATTCCATCTCCTCAATGTCTTAACAGAGCAGAGGAAAAGAGAATAATGTGAGATGACTGGAAACATGGTAGAACACGACACACGACAACATAAAAATTAGCTATACCAATGTGAAACATGACTCAAAGTTGGTTCTATGAGAGTGTAAACATGACATTTTCTAAATTTAAAACAGACACTGTCTAATGTGTGGAGGCAGAAATGCAAACAAACAGATCCTATGATGGGATATATACAGAGGAGGCTCAAGAAAGAGTGTGATCGATTCTCTCTGGGGCAGGGGCAGTGTTCTCTGGCAGCAATTTTATAGAGGAAGCAGCCGGAACTGAGTTGTGAAAGATGAGTTTCATACTAACTATTGTCTGCATGGCCTTTTCCAAAAGCCCTTGCACTTATATTATAATTTGACCTTCACAACAACTCATAGATGGTGGATTTGAGTCTAAAAGAACTTAGCCAAAGACAACCAACAAACTGGTAAGAACCCAAATCTCAGAGTCCCAGCCCCGCCTACTTTGAGCTGCCTTCCCTGAGCCACTGCAGCCAGTATCTGCTACACCTTTGGAGGGACTGCGGGGAAGCTGGGCACGACCAAAGCTTTCAGAAATGGGTCTTTTTGGGGTGCTGGATGAGAACTCCTGGGGAAGGAGCTAGAGGGGCAAGGGGGATAAGATGTGCTGGAAAGGGAACCAGCTCTATCTTCACCAAATTCACAATTTTACCAAAGTCTAAGCAGGAACATAAGGTATCAGCTAATCACAAGCAATAAGAAAAGGAGAGGACCCCAGAAAACTTCCTTGAGGAGAGAAAAATTAAAGTAATAAATTCAGTACAAAATAAAAAGTAGTCGTAGTATCTACAATTTATTGGGCACTTGCTATGTGCCAGACACTATGGTGAGGGCTTTACATTCATGAGCTCATTTAATCCTCATGACATTCCTATGAGATAGACAATTTTATCCCCAGTTTACGGACGAGAAAGGCCCAGCAAAGTTAAGGGTCTTTCCTGAGGCTCAGTTACATGGTGACGTAAGTCAGCACCTTTAGATTTATCCATGTATGTTCTTAAATGACTGTACCTGGAGTCCCTCATTGGAAGGCACAGCTGATGTAAACACTCTAAAGATGGTTTCTCTTAAATCATTTCTAGGTAGGCTGAACCTATTTTGAATGACATTCACTACACAATATTTTTGTACTATGTCAAAAAATTTGAAAACACACCACAGGTTAATGTTAATGAAATTTGACATATCTGGATATCCTTGAATTAGGAAGTGATCTTGTCAGCAATATTGTCCTCAAACATGAATGAAAATAATACTCTAACAAGTGACAACAAAAACCTCATTAAAGTAAGGAGCACAAACTTACAACACAGGCAAGGGGCGACACCTGCCCCTTGAGACAGCTCCCCCTCCCCAAGCTAGCCCTATGCCCGACGGGAAGACGTAAAGTGGGGTGATGGCATTTCATTCTCGTTTTACTTGGCTGTCCTCCCAAGACTGTAGCTTTTACCTTATTATACAGTTATTAATTAATAATGAGAGAGGAAAATGTGTCTGAAGGTAAGTGCTGTGATTAAAATTAGTGCTTTCAGGATGACCTGAGAACAGAAATATATTTCTTTAATGAGTCACTGCCAAATTAACTATATAGATAGCTATTAATGTCTTTGAGAAACACAAATTTCTGGGCACTGAGACTACAGCTTAAAAATAGTCTTGGCTTATATTTTTTTAATTTATTAATTTTATAAAGCAGTAAGAGCCATTAAAACAGCCACCTGGAATACATACCAACGATAACATCCACATAGATGAAAACATTAAGTGAAATGTAATTACTCATCTCTTATTAACCCTATTAAAAGCACATACATTAGCTAAAAGCCCATGGAAATGAAATAAATTAAACCAGTATATTTTTGGTTGTGATTCTCAGGGCAATGGAGAGTTCTCAGATGTGTAGCTAAAGCCGAATTTGACAGCAGCACTGGGAGGAAGGAAGGTCCTGATACGGAGAGTCAGGGTAATGGACTCAGACCAGGAGAGAAACTATAAAAACCCAGGTTTTGACCTTTTCTGTTCCATATATTTGGAGTCATAACCCATCAGAAAATTCAAGGAAGTCATCAGTTTGATTTAATGGTTTAACCATAATCCTTTTAACCTAAATATCAAACGTTTCCAAAGGCATAAGAGAATCAGCATAATATCCTGGGTCCCAAGAAAGCCCCTTAGAAACCAGGTGCAGCGCTGGTTGCGGAGTCATGCTCCTGCATTTACAGGCATGGAGAGAGGTCCAGAGAGACCCACTGGCCACCAGTTACCGCAAGAGGCAGAGCAGAGATGAAAATCCAGGTGACAGACTTCTGCCACTGTCCCTCAATACCTTCCTGAAAAGTTCCGCATCTAAAATGGGGCTCAGGGATCATCATTTAAAAACAATCCTGATGGGAATCCCGTTGTAAAGCATGTGGCCGTTCCTAACCTATGGTCTACGGTCTACGTAAATCTCAACTTTCTCCACTCAGCTGTGAATGCCAGGCGCTTCCGTGCTCGTCTCACAGCCACACTGATAAAGCCATAGACGGGATTGGTTCATTATGGGGAATGCATCGACTGACCTGCCAGCCCATCAAGACAAATTACACCATCATTCATTTCACAGTCACGTAACTAGAATCGGAAGTTTTTAAGCAGGCAGACAAATGTAGTCCAATCTCACTTTTCATATGAGAAAATTAAGTCTCATAGATAAGGTCTTGCCTGAAGTGACAGTGGGTTAGCACCAAACCTCAAACCCAGGCTTCTCAACTGTCGCTTCCTTTTCCACTGCGCAGAGCTTCATAACACTCCACAAAAGTTTATAATAACCACAATTTCAGTATCTCTTTATTAGCAAAACTTTAAATTACCGGTTCAGCAACTCAACACTGTTCTTATTGGCTGGAAATGAATACTCCCACATACACATAATTTTCATTCTCTGCTCTCAGCAATTTATTATTTATTTATTATTAATATTTTTTAATCTGATTCTTTTTTTTATTGAGGTCATATTTGTTTTCTTGGTAATTTAAAGATTTTATTTTTCCCTACTTTTCCCAAAAGCCCCCTAGTACCTAGTTGTATATTTTTCTAGTTGTGGGTCCTTCCAGTTGTGGCATAGGGGACACTGCCTCAGCATGGCTTGATGAACAGTGCC